ATATAGTGAAATAATAAAAGATTAAGATTATCTCCCTAATAATCACAAAGTGGTAACCAAACTCAAATGGTTTACTGCCCAAGGAAGGTGCTTGTGGTTGGAACTCACGTCTTCCCAGTGGTTTCACAGAGTGTTGTCAATTTCCCAGTGGTTTCATTACAAATTTGCTCGGTGCATGCCGCCGAGCTGAGAGACTGCTTTGCGGCTGTCGAGCTGGGTTACTTGGCTGCTGCCGAGCTGGGCTGCCTTGCTTCTGTTGAGCCGGAGTACTGTTGAGGTTTGCAGCTGCCGAGCTGGACTGTTTTGGTGCAGCGAGCTGGGCCGCTTTGTTGCTGACGTAATTCCCCATTCATCCGAAGTAGTATTTTAGTATAGAACAGAGGCATTCTGGGCCGACTACATGCGCATCTAGTGCAGTGGCTTGGAAGCAAGCTACCTTGACCATCTTCCGAAGTTCTAAATAATCTACTGATCAAAGGCTGTAGGGGCGGACTGCTCTACATTCAGCCACGCCACAGTGACCCCCGAAGCGATCTTCTTCTAGTTGCGGGACGAAATCCGGCAGCCAATTCATTGCTGGCTCTGAATAACCAGCCCAGCAATAAGTTCAATTCTTCCATAACATAACGGGGCGGGGTTGCGCGCGAGCCGAGTGACGTAGGTGCACGTTGCCGAGCTGAACTGCTTTGTTGCTGCTGTGCTTGCCCGCTTTGCTGCTACCGAGCTGGACTGCTCTACTGCTGCCGAGCTGGGTTGCTCTACTGCTGCCAAGCTGAACTGCCGAGCTTCTGCCGAGCTGGAGCATTATTTTGAGCTTTGCTGCTGAGCTGGGTTGTTGTGCTGTTGCCGAGCTGGGATGCTCTGCTGCTGCCATCAAGCTCGAACTCAGCTTCTCATTGAGGGCAATAACATGCCTTTTGGCTGAGAGGTGAGGCTGCAGTTGGAGTCCAGTAGGCAGAATTCTCCAGCTAAAACCGGAGCTACAGTTGGGGAAGTTGCCGGCGGGAATTTGGAGAAGAAGCAACTGAATAGATGGGAAGTACATCCATGATTGAAAGAATAGAGGGGCACATAATTGCCATAGCCCGAAACAGGAGGAGCCTGGAAGGTTACCGCCGGAGATGATCGATTGTCATTTATCACCGGTCGACCGATGTTGTTTAATTGAGCGCAGGTGTTTGATTTAACCCACATCGTCACTGCTTCTGCTCCCGAAAGGTTACCGCTGCTCCATGCAATGTCTCGGCATAATGCCCATTCGAATACAGCAGCTCGCAGTCTCTGATCCTTTCATTGGTGTAGTTCTGTGCATACGCCGCCACCATCTTGTCCCAGGTCATGGGCCGAACATTGGGGCTTTGCAAGGTAGTTGTTGTGGGTACTTAGGTAGGCTTCGTGTGGTGAATCTTGAGGATAGGATCGATTTGATGCAGCAAAACAGGAGGAGCCTGGAAGAAAAGGGATATATATATATATATATTTTTTTGGAACTTTCATGGTCCGTGCTCACCACTTCTTCCCTTTCTTTTCACCACTTCTTCCTTTTCTTTTCTCTCTTTTTTCTTTTCTTTTCTTTTTTTTTTTTTTTTGTCTTTTTCTTTTTCTTTACTTATTATATATATATACATATTTTCTTTGACTTGCCTTGAACATGTGCTTTACTGACAC